TGTGTATTCAAAGTGGTTGGGATAGATATATAGTTACATTCTGTTAATGAATAGAATGATTTGTTCTAATGGAGTTTGTAAATAGGATCACAAGTCCGCATCTTGTACAGCAATTAACCACTAAGAAGAATATATGCAGTGTATTATTTGTTGAAACTGTACTTTCGATTTGATTTGAAACTGTCTCATTGCTATATGTTTATCAATAAAACTTTGAAAAGAAAAAAAAAGAAATTATAACATAAAAAAAGAAAAGAAAGATGTTTTAAAAATAGCTAGACCATGAAAAATGAAGCTACAAGATTACACAAAATAGAAAAACATAAGATCAATTGGATACAATGAGAAAGCTAGAAAAGCACAAAAGCTGAAAATCTCCCAAGAATGGATAAAGAATTTGACATACAAATAAACAAAGCATATAAAATTTCAAACAGCTAACCAAAATAAACCACACCAAGACATATAAAAATCAAGACTCCAGAACTTCAGCACAAGAACAGAATATTAATCGTTAAGAAAAGAGAAACAGATCACCTATAAAGGAAAGTGCTTCAAAATCATGACACACTTCTTACGACAAACACTCAAGTCAAGAGGAGCTTGGAGTAAAGTATTTCAAGTCTTGAGAGTAAAAACAACTTCCAACCTACATTGATGTACCCTGCAAAACTATCTTTTGAAATTAATGGAGAAATAAGAAATGTCCATGACAAAAAGCTGAAGAAATTCATGAGCACCAAACCAACCCTTTAAAGAGTACTAAAAGGTATCATAGACAGAGATAAAAATGACCACAATTTCAAGAACAACAGAAAGAAATCACCAGTCAGGACAAACAATTAAACAGAGGGAAAAACGCAGGGAACCGAAAGTGGGAAAATATCATGACAAAGGTGAGTCAATACATATCAGTTATAACCAAAATGGCCTGAATTCATCAATCAAAAGAAACAGATTGGAAGAACAGATCAAGGAACACGATCCAACAATATGTTGTATATAAGAAACACATTTAACTCAAAAATAAACTCATAGACTGAAAGTCAAACAGTGGAAAACAACTGTAATGGGAGACCTTAATACCCCACTGTCACAAAAAGATAGATCAACAAGACAAAAAACTAGCAAAGAAATACCAGGGCCAGGAAGACAGCTCAGTGGCTTAAGTGCCTGCCTGGAAAACACAAGGTCCTGAGTTTGATCCTGGGGGGTAAAAAAAAAGAGCCTTTGGGCCAGCCAGATAGCTCAGTGGGTTAAAGTGCCTGCTTAGACAGAGTGCAGCATCCGGGGTTTGATCCCCAGCAAGCTGTGCCAGCCCCACCCGCGGGGTGCTCTGAGAAGGCTATTGAGACAGGGCATGGTGGCACAAGCCTGTAATCCCAGCACTTGGGAGGTTGAAAACAGGGGAATCATTCCCAAGTCTGATCTGTGCAGTGAGACCCTTTAGACCCTGTACTAAATACATTAAAAAAATAAAAATAATAATAAAGAAAAAAGAAACCAAACCTGTGAACAAATGAATTCAGTAGATGTTTTCAGAGTGTTCCACCCAACACCATCAAGTACACATTCTTCTCAGCTGCATATTTAGACAATCTCTAAAATAAACCATGCACTAGCTTACAGAACATGATTAAATAAATGAAAAGGAACTGAAATTATTCCATGCATGTTACTGGACCGTAGTGTAATGAAATTAGAAATTAATGGCAAAAGAAACTGCAAAAACTTCATTAATATATGGAAATTAAGTAACATCTCCTTATCAACTAATGGGTCACAGATAAAATTAAAGAAGAAATTAAACAGTATCTACAACTAAATGAGAAAGCAGATATAACACACTGGAACATATGGGAGGCAATGATAGCAGTTCTAAGAGGAAATTTATAGTGGTGAATTCTCACATTAGCAAAACAGGACAAACACAAATACACAACCTAATATTGCACCTTAAGGTTCTAGCAAAAGAAGATGGAGACAAGCACAAAGCCCAAACACAGGAGGAAATTATTAGGATCAGAAAAGAAATGAAAACAACAGAGACTAAGAGAACAATACAAAGATTTAATGAATTGAAGAGGTGGTTCTTTAAAAGAATAAAAACCAATAAAACTTAAGCCAAAAAAAAAAACCCTTAAAAAAAAAAAAAAAAAAAAAAAAAAAAAAAAAAAAAAAAAAAAAAAAAAAAAAGGAAGCCTGAAATTCATGCACTGAGGAAAGAATAGGACAAAACCACAATAGATTAGGTGGAAATTCAAAAGATCCAAACCTACTTTGAAGGGCTAGCCTGATAGCTCAGCAGACTAAAGCACCTGTTCATGCAGAGCACAGCAGCTGGGGTTCGATTCCAGCGCTTGGGAGGCTGAAAACGGGAGAATCACTATGGGTCCAATCTATGTAGTGAGACCCTGTAGACCTTGTCCTAAATACAGAAAAAAAAATACTTTGAAAATGTTTACTCTCATAGGATGGAACATGGAAGCAATGGACAGATTCCTAGATATGTAAAGTTAACAAAACTAAATCAAGAAGATCTCTCAAGCAAGCAAGCTATTCCCCTCCTGGGTATTTTTCCAGAAGAATTAAAAACCTTATACCACAGCGATCTATGTGCACCCATGTTCATAGCAGTGCCATTTGTTATAGCTAAATCCTGGAAACAACCCAGATGCCCAATAACTGAAGAATGGATAAAGATGTGGTATTTTTACACAATGAGGTATTATTCAGCTATAAAACAGGATAAATATGAGTCTTTTGTTGGTAAATGGATGCAACTAGAGAACATACTCTGAAGGGAAATAAATCAGACCCATATGTGCAAAAATCGTATTATCTCCTTAGTGTGAGACGATGTACAAACATTGTATTAGTGTGAGAACCTGAAAGACAAAAAATGGAATCTGAAGGGTACAACAGATATTAGGAAAAGGGAATGAACTTATTCAAAAAGAAAGAGTTACTGAGTTGAGGAGAAGGACAGGAGCGAGAGTAGGGGAAATATATTTATTTATGTATGTAAACTGGATGGTTTGGACAACTGTACTGTGCAGTTCTTTTTATGGATAGAAGCAGTTAATGCTTTAATTTGTTTCATTACTTTTTCAATTGTTTGTACTTTTTCTCTTCTTAATTTCTTATACATTTACTTCTCTTTTCTTTCTTCCAATTTTACATGCATATATCTGGTAATATGAATAACTGGGAGACAACACTATGTATTACAACCAATACTGTGAAATTCATATTACTTTGTTAAGTGAAATTCTGTATGACTTGTAACTTTTTAATTCTAATTTGTACTCTCTTTAAAAAATAAAAAAAATTCTGAATAACCCAATATCAGTTAATGAGATTGAAAATGTATTAAAAACTTATCAACAAAGGAAAGCCCATCTGCTGATGAGTTCACTACTGAATTCAACAACAAAGTTAGAGAGGATTTAATACCAATACTCCACAAATTCTTAATGAAATTAAAAGGGAAGTAATACTTTATAACTCATGCCTGGAGGTGAGTATTACCCTGATACCAAAACCAGAGAAAGACTCAACTACAAAAGAAAACTACAGGTGTCTTCCTAATGAACATACATGCGAAAATACTCAGTGAGATACTAGCAAACAGAATGCGGCAAATCACCAAGAAGATAATATATCCTGACCAAGAGGGATTCATCCCAGGAATACAGGGATAGTTCAAAATGTGCAAATCAATAAATGTAGTATACCATTATCAACAAAGCCAAACACAAAACCCACATGATCATCTGAAAAGATGCAGACAAACTTTTTACAATGTCCAGCACTTATGACAAAAATCCCTACAAAAAATCAGAATAGATGATCTTTACCTCACCCTGATAAAAGCCATCTATGACAAACCAAAAGCCAACATCATAGTAAACGGACAAAAACTGAAAACTTTCATTCTAAAATCAGGAACAAGGCAAGGGTGTCCACTATCACCACTCCTATTCAGTATAGTTCTGGGGACTGGGGAGATAGCTCAACAGTCTAAGTGCCTGCCTGACAAGCACAAGGACCTGAGTTCGATCCCTGGTACCATATGCCACGCTGGCCTCAGATCCCCAGGTGTCCCATGATGGTCCTAAAACCAGGCATAGTAGCACAGGTGTGGTGGTGCATGCCTTAATCTCAATGTTGGGGAGGCTGAGACAGGAGGATCACTATGACTCTGAGCTGCATAGCGAGAACCTGTATATATATATATATATATATATATATATACACACACACACACACACACACACACACACACACATTAACTCAAGCAATTTGACAAGAAAGAGAAATGAAAGAAATATGGATAAGAAAAGAAGACATTAAGTTATCATTGTTTGCAGATGGCATGATACTGTATGCAAAATACGCCAAAAACCCCACCAAAGGAGTTCTAGGTTTAATAAGCAAATTCAGTAGCATAACTGGATACAAAGTCAACATCAAGTCAATGACATTTCTGTACACAAACAACAAACTCACTGAGAGAGAAATTAGGGAAACCACATGTTTTACTATAGGATCCAAAAATGAAATACTTAGGAATCACTCTAACAATGAAGTCAAAGATCTGTACATTGAAAATCACAGTACTCTGAAAAAGGAGATGGAAGAGGATATCCAAAGATGGAAAGATACTCCTTGCTCTGGATATGAAGATGAATATAATGAAAATGGCTGTAGTCCCTAAATTGTTATACAGATTTGATATAATCTCAATCAAAATAACCTTAGCATACCTCACAGAACTAGAGAAAACATTCCTAAAATGTATTTGGAACCAGAAAAGACCTGAAATAGCAAAAGCCATTCGGTGCAACAATGGTAAGTCAGTCAGTGGACATCACAATATCAGACCTGAAATTATACTACAATGCTACTGTTTTAAAATCAGCATGGTACTGGCATAAAAACAAAACTAAGGATCAATGGAACAGATTAGAAGATGCAGACAGAACAAACACACTCACCCATCGTATCTCTGAAAAGGTGGCCAACATGTTCACTGGGAGAAAGACAGCCTCTTTAATAAACGGTACTGGGAAAACTGACTCTACAGGCTGAAAACCAAAACTAGATCCATGTCTATCACCATGCACAAAATTAAAATCAAAATGGATCAAAGATCTAAATATTAAAACAAACACAATCTACTGGAAGAGAAAATAGGTAAGATTTTGAAGACACAGGGATTGGCAGAGAGTTCATGAACAAAACCCAAACTTCATGGGAAATACTCCAAAGAATCTACAGTTGGGATCTCATGTTATTAAAAAGCTTTTGCACTTCAAAAGAAATCACCAACACAGTGCAAAGACAACCCACAGAGTGGGAAATAATCTTAGCCAATAATCCTTTACCCTCAGGCAAAGGACTTATATCTAGAACATATAAAAAATAACAAAAAATCACATCCCCCAGATTCAAAGAACCAATCCAAAAATGGGCATCTGAGATGAATGCACACTTCTTAGATGAAAGAATATAAATGATAAATAAATATATGAAAAAATGTCAAATATCATTGATCACTTGAGAGATGCAAATTAAAACAACAGAGATTCCATCTCACCCCAGAAAGAACAGCTGCCATGAAGAAATCAACCAGTAACAAATGCTAGAGGAACTGAAGAGAAAAAGGAACTTTTCTCCATTCTTGCGGGGAGTGTAGCCTGGTATATGTACTGTGGAAATCAGTGTGGAGATCCCTCAAAAAACTAGGACCTTAGGTCCCATTCAACCCAGTTACTACTCTGCCATATATATATTTCCCAAAGAATTAAAAACATCATACCATAGTAACAAATGTGCACCCATGTTTATGGCAAAGCAACTGTAGTAGTTAAATGTTGGAAATAACCCAAATGTCCATCAACTGAGGAATGGATAAAAAAGATGTGATATTATTATACAATGGAGTACTATTCAGCTATAAATAAGGATAATCTTGAGATCTTTATAGGTAAATGGATGCAACTTGAGACCATACTCATAAATGAAATAAATCATTCTTGCATGTGTGAACTTTATACTGTCTTCCTAGTGTAAGAAGCTCAAAGAGTAAGTGACATTCAAAATGCACAACAGATATGGGGAAATGGGAAGAAACTGTTTAAATGGAGAGAGAAACTGAAAGGGGGAAAAGGAGAAAAGGAAAAAGCAAAAAAAGGAAAAAGAAAATATACATACAAGATAGTTAAGATAGCTATATTATCAATCTGTTAGTTCACTGAAGAGAAAGTTTTGTGCTCATATCATTTGATCAGTCTTTCATGCGTCTGTCTTGTAATGTGCACAACTACTCTGAAGATAATAGTAAGCAATGTACTAACCATTGTTACCCTCCTACTATCTTGCTTTGAAATTTTGTTATCATTGTTTTCTCTTTAAAAAACGCCCCCCAAATAAAAAATCCGAAATTGAATGAATGAAAAAATATGTTTTGGGCCATTAACTTTTTAATAAATAGAAATGATGGTCGACTTCACTTCATCCGTATTTTCCTCTCTTAGCTGTTAGTTTTCATCTTTTTTTAGTGTTTTTAAAAATTTTTTATTTTGTATCTTTAGAATACAAAATGGTAAAGAAAACATTAGAAATGATACAAAATTTCATTAAACAAAGCAATAGGAATTTGACAATGGTTGTATTGCATAATATTATCTTCGAATTAGTTGTTTAGACTACCAAATATAAACCTGCAAAATCGGTAAAAAAAAGTCATAAGAAATTAAAAAGAACGACATTAAAAAAATAATTTTAAGGATTAACTGCTCCTTTCAATAGATCAGCAGAAATCCGCAGAACAATTATCCAAACTATTCTGCATATATACATATGTATATTTTCCCTTCTTGCTTTTGTAGTTTTCCTCTTTAGTCAGAAGTCTTACACATGGAATTATATGCAGAAAGGCTACACTTCACAAGGACTTTAAGTATTCCACTTGGAGACTTATGCCACGAAAAGTACACAATATAAACCCAAGGTATCCTTTATAACACAAACAGCTGGGCCAGGGAGATAGCTCAGTAGAATAAGTGCTTGCCTGGCAAGCACAAGGGCCTGAGTTCAATCCCTAGTTCCACAAAAAAGAAAACAAAAACAAACAAAAAACAACAAACAAAAAACACTTGGGGCCAGGGAGATAGCTCAGTAGAATAAGCACTTGGCTAGCAAGCGTAGGGTCCTGATTTCAATCCCCAGTACTGTGGGGTTGGGGGAAGACACAAACAGCTATCTAACCTATGTATATCAGAACATTAAAGTAGTCAGTATGAAGGTATAATTTAGATACCTCATTATACGAACATACTCTCTTTGAACTCAGAAAACTTAAAGGAAATAGTCTGCAATTCCATGGAGCTTAATTTTTCTAGACATGCTACTAAAAGTACTAGGTATTAGGGTTTGTATCTAAAGTGGCTCTAGAAGTCTCAAGTGTTTAGAACTTGGTTTTAGGAGGTTGGGTCTAGCTGGAAGAAAGGAGCTGGCAGGGAAGGTTCTATTTTCCTCCTTGGCCCCTGCTTCCACTTTCTGCTTCCTGGCTGCCATGATGTGAGCTTTCCTCACTGGACCCTTCCCCAAGCCTTTCCTGCCTTAAAGCCAGCCCACCGGGACTACAACCATGAGCCAAAACAGACCTCTCTTCCAAGAAGTTGTGGGCACAGGGTCTTACAGCTCAGCAAGGAGAAAATAACTAAAACACAGGGGTTCAGAGACTGAAAATAAAATTAATTCAGCTAACATGTTTGTATGTGTGGGGCCAGCAAAGTGCAGCATATTTGTTTGAAAAAAAAATACAGTTTTTGTGTTCCCAAGAATCCATGGGCAAAATGGAACTAATCCTAATTTGAACTTTATTTGCAAGTAGCTATGAATTGACTATATAGTTGGCAGCTACTAGCATTTGTTGTGTTTACAAAGTGCCTGTGCATCTGTTATTTCATTTGACCTGAAAAGTTGTAATATTAGTTGTTGTTTTGTCTTCCTGAGACAGGGTTATGCTCTATATTCCAGTCTGGCCTTAAACTCACTTTGTAGCTCAGGCTGGCCTGGAATTTGAGGTGAGCCTCTTGTCTCAGCCTCCCACGAGCTAGGATATAGGCATGCAGCACAGCACAGGCAAATTGTAATTTTTGGAATAAGTTCAAGATATACCATAAGAGCCAATGTTGGGATACAAAACCAAGTCTTTGTGTTTCAATGTTCTATGCTTCCCATTGCACTAGATAATTTGGTAATCTTGAAAATTTCTGACAACTTTACACAACGAACAGTCATGATTTATGTGTTTATATTATATACCTAGCAATTCTGATCCTTTAAACAGAGATGGAATAGGGAGGATGGTAACAAGGGGGAGACAATATTAGTTTCTCTTTTTAAGAGCAGAATGTTTTGCTTAATAATGTAGCACATCATATATAACCATAAGGTTTATTTATTTATTTTTTGGCGGATCTGGGGATTGAACTCAGGCCCTTGTGCTTGCCAGGGAAGTGCTTATTCTACTGAGCCTTCTCCCCAGCCACATAATCGTAAGATTTAAAGAAACCACTAAATAGTTCAAATTACACTTATTGAAGCATAAATTACCTAAAATAACTGCACTCATTTGGACGAATGTTAAACCAGGTTAAGTCCTACCACAATCAAGATATAGAGTATCTCCACTGCCACCAAAAATTTCCTTTGGGTCCTCTGCACACAATCTCTACCTCTCCCTGCACTCAGACAATTGCAGATCAGCTTTCTGCCACTATAGGCTGAGTTTTCAAGACATTTGAAATAAATAGCATATTCTTTCATGATTTCTTTCACTTAGCATGCATTTTAGATATAGAATTCTAATGCATGAATACATACTTTAATACATACTTAATAAATCCATTCATAAATTGATGGGTTTAGTTTTTGGCTTTTGAGAATAAAGCTACTATAACGTGCATGTACAAATCTTTGTCTAGATATGTGTTTAACTTTCTCTTAGACAGTTAATATCCTAATCCCTGGGTTGTTTAGTAAGTATATGTTTAATTTTATAAGAAATTGTTAGACTTTCAAAAAATGGCTCTATCATTTTACATTTCCATCACAGCACAGTAATGGTTACTCCACATCTCAGCATTTGGTATTATCAGTTTTTAAATTGTAGCTTTCTAACTGGTGTACTGTAGTGTGTTTACTGCTGTTCTAATGTGCATTTCCCTGATAGCTAATGATAGTAGCCAATTTTTTCATGCAATTATTGGCAATTCATTTTTCTCTGGAGTGCTCAAGATTTATTCTTAAAATTCTATAGCTTATCTTCCAATTGAGTTATAAGAATTCTTTACATATACTGAATATATATCCTTGTCAATATGTATTGCCAATATTTTCTCCACCTGACTTTTTAAAAACCTAATTACATTTTTCAAAGAACATTTCTTTTCTTTTTTCAAATCTAATTTATCATTTTGAAAAATCATTAGTGCCTTATCGAGGAAATTTTTCTTAACTGAAGGCTGCAAAGATTTTCTCCTATATTATGGTTCAAAATTTTTAGTTTTAGCCTTTATAGATTAAAAGACATTTCAAGTCAATTCTACATATGTCAGGTAAGAGTCAATGTTTATTTTTCCTCATTAGGATATCCATTTTCTTCAGCACCACTGTTGAAAAGACTTGTGCTTTCCTATTGAATTGTCAGGGCAGTTTCGATGATAATTAACTGGCCATATATGGCAAGTTCAATTTCTATTGTCTTTAGGTTGTTTCATTTGTCTATATGTTTTTTCTCATGGCAATCTAAAGTCTTGGTTACTGTAGTTTCATATAATAAGTCTAGGAACTAGGGCCTATAGTAAGTGGACCAGCTTTATTTATTTATTTATTTTTAAATGCATTAAATAGGACCAGGGAGATAGCTGAGTGGTCTAAGTGCCTCTCTGGCAAGTGAAGGACTCAGGTTCGAGCTCCAGTACTGCATG